CTTTTCCAACACAAATTTCTCTGTTTTTCTTATTCCTTGCCAACACTATAATTCATATCCATCCATTCTTCTGCTTTCTTCCTCATTCATTGTGCATATTTCACTTTACATGAGGTGATTGAAAAAAAAAACCATGGCTTAGATTAGGTACAAAATCATCTTCATCTTCACCTTTGAACCATTTAAAAGGAATGTTTTGCAGATTTTCCCAGTGTAGTACATCCTTTGATTTCCGGACTGCTACTCCCTTGGCCACTGATTATGGATCAAAATAAAATAAAATTATTGACAACTTCACGCCTTTCTCCATTTATCATGATGCTGATTGTTTGCCCAGTGATGAGGATTTTTGTTTTCTTTATATTGAAATATAACCTAGTGAAAGTTATAGTCTTTGCTCTTCATCAATAAGTGCTCCAAGTCTTCATTTTCAAAACCCAAGGTTGTCTCATCTGAATATTGCAGGTTGTGAATGAATCTTCTTCTAACCCTAAATCCTCTCCGTTCTTCATGTATCCCATCTCCTCAGAGAATGTGCTCACCACCATACTTACTTTGTCAGTAAGGATGGTGAAAGAACACAACCCTGAAGCACACCTTTTCTGCTTTTAAACCACGATGTTTCCCCTGTTCTGTTCCAATGTCTGTCCCTAGGTCTATGTACCAGTTCAACATTAGCACAATTCACACTATTCACAGTGTTATCCATAATTAATTATAACCCATGCCGTTGAATGGCGTTGCATAGTCCATAAAACACGGGTAAACATCTTTCTGGTATTTTCTGCTTTCAAACAAGATTCATCTGACAACAACAGTGATATTTCTTATTCCACATCTTCTTCTGAATTTAGCTTGAATTTCTGGCAGTGCCATGGAGATGTAGTTACTTCAACCGGTTTTGAATTATCTTCAGCAACAGCTTACTTCTGTGTGGTACTAATACTATTATTTGCTAATTTCTGAATTCTGTTGTACCACCTTCCTTTGGAATGGGCACGAACATGGACCTCTTCCAGTCTGTGGGCCAGGTGGCCATTATATTGGTACAGTGGCTCTGTGTATCACTGGAATGAGAAAGTTGGAAGTAAAGAAGAAGGATTAACTTATGGAAATACGGCCTTGACAGAAATGACACAGGAGATAGAATGATGCACTTTTTCAAGACCAATGGCTTGTGCATTGCAAATGCCTCTTTTCACCAACATAAGCAGTGCCTATACACGTGGGAGCCTTGGTGACAGAGTGAGTTGTGAGTTGGGCTACTATTCACAAGATCAGCATTTTGAACCCCCCAGCCACTCCAAGGCTCTAAGACGAGACTTTCTGGTCCCGTGAAGGCTTACAACCCCTGAAACCCAACAGGGCAGCTCTGTGCTCTCCTATTGGGTCCCTATACGTCTGAATTGCCTCTATGTCAGTGACATGAAATACGTCGACATCAAATAGCCTGTCTCTGAAAAGAGAAATTGGAGAAGCTTGATATCATCACTCAGAATAAGGTATTCAAAACAAGGCTAAGGCTCAGCCAATTGCAGAATGGACCACCAATTACTCCTGGGTGAGCTCAAATTGAGGTTGAAGAGAATCAAAGGCAGTCCACAAGAGTCAAAGTATGACCTCGGCATATCCCACCTGAGTTAGACACCATCTCATCATAAATGTGAAGAACTGAACATTAATGAATGAACTGTGGAATGACATCAAGGACAGCATAGATATAGAAAGCAAAAGATCATTCAAAAATGAAGAAAGAAAAGAAAAAAAGATTAAGAAAAGTCTCTGTAACTTGCTCTTGAACATTGAGACACTAAGTAAATGGAAGAAATGATGAAGTAAAACAGCTGAACAGAAAATTTCCAGGATGAAAGAGAAGGCAGTGTAAATTGGCATCATTAAATGCAGAGACCTGGATTTAGAAAGCCAAAAAGGGAGTTCATGCTTCATATTCTAAAGATGAAAGGTGTGAATGAAAAATTCGAGACTTGAGATTCAATAGTCGAGGAACCAATTGCCAATAAATTTTTTTTTCATACAATTTCCAACAAATTCTTCATTACAATCACCTTCCTTTCCTACACATACAGCTTTTAAAATCCTGAGAAGACTCTGAGGCTTCTTTTTATTTTATTTGTACTAAGAACTGTACACAGCGGTTCCAACTTAGCTACAATTTTTATTTAAAGACAACCAGGAAAGGATTTTTAATATACAGTAATAGCAGCATTTTCAAATGTCTCCTTTTATAACACATTTTAAAAATTATGAATTAGGTGGGATTTACATTTCAGATGATCAACTTTGTATTCAACCGTTTAAGTATGAATCACCCCCCAGGAGTTTCCTCTTCCCATTTCTTGATTTCTCTTCTCCCTCTTATGGACCACCGTTTTCCACTGCACCCAAGTTCACACCCATAAACTGTCTAGTCTACTGCTTTATCTGCCCCCATTGCAGTCCCCTTTTGTTATGAGAGTATTTCTCTTGTTTTGTATTGTTTTTTTCCTTAAACAGTTGTCGCCTATAATATTTTTCCTTTTGTGACTCACTACTTTCACGTAGCATAATG